AAGATCGCCTGGGGGATCAACTCCTTCGATCAGCTGGGCGGTGTGTACGACCCGGGCTGGGGAATGGCGCCCTCGGAGAAGGCGGTCGTGTTCGTCGACAACCACGACAACCAGCGCGGTCATGGAGGCGCCGGGAGACATCCTCACGCACAAGCAGGTGGAGGAGGGGGATGACAGGGAGCAAAGGTGGGTGGGATAAGGAGGGGGAAGGGGGTGGGATGAGGAAGGAGGAGCGGGGGTGGGATTGAGGAGGGGGGATAGGGCGGGATGGTGGGATGAGGAGGGAGGAGGGGTGGGTGGGGAGGAGGGGAAAGGGAGGGAAGGGGGATGAAGGGAATAAGAAGGGAAGGAGGGGGGGTTTGATGAGGGAGGAGGGGAGGAAATAAGATGAGGAGGAAAGGGAATGAGGAGAAGAGGATAGGAGGAAAGAGGATGAGGAGAGGTGGGAATAGGAGGGGAGGAAGGGGGGGGGAGTGAGGGGAATAGGAGGGGTGAGAAGATAAGGAGGGAAAAGGGGGTGGGATGATGAGAGGGGAAATAAAAGGGAAGGAAGGGGCGGGATGAGGAGGGGAGGGAAATAAGATGAGGAGGAAAGGGAATGAGGAGAAGAGGATGAGGTGAGGTGGAATAGGAGGGAGGAAGGGAGGGGAGGAGGTGAGGGGAATAGGAGGGAGGGAAATAAGATGAGGAGAAAATGGAATGAGGAGAAGAGGATAAGGAGAAGAGGATGAGGGAGAGGGGGAATAGGAGGGGAGGAAGGGGGGGGAGGTGAGGGGGAATAGGAGGGTGAGAAGATATAAGGAGGGAAAAGAGGCGGGTGGCGGATGAGGAGGGAATAAAAGGAAGGAAGGGTGGTGGGATGAGGAGGGAGGAAATAAGATGAGGAGGGGAAAGGGAATGAGGAGCAGAGGATTGAGGTGAGGTGGGAATAGGAGGGGAGGAAGGGGTGGAGAGTGAGGTGTATAGGAGGGGAGAGAAGATAAGGAGGGAAAAGGTGAGTGAGAGGGAGATGAGGAAGGGGTGAGGGGAAATGGGAAGGGAGGAGATGGTGAGGGAATAGGAGGAGGGAAATAAGATGAGGAGAAAATGGAATGAGGAGAAGAGTAGGAAGGATATGAGGGAATGAGGGCACAAGAGCAGCATCCTCACGCACAAGCAGATGAGATGAGGAAGGGAGAAAGTGAGGCAAAAAGAAGTAAGTATACGGGGAAATGAGGAGGCAAGTAGATAAAAAAAAATGAGGGGATGAGGAAAAAATAGATGGGAAAAAGAGATAGTGAGGTAAGGAAACAAACATATAAAAATGAGAATATGAGGGGAGAAGTATATAAAGGTGTGAAGAGATGACGAGACATGTAAATATGATGAGATGAGGGGGGAAGTATTCTGTAATGAGTAACAAAAAAGATGAGGAGACAAACAGATAAGGATAAATGATGAGGGGACAAATGAATGAGGATTTGATGAGGTGCGGCGTGACGAGATATGGAAATGAGGAGGGAGTCAGTGAGGGAGAATGGAGTCCAACGAAGTCAAAGAGAGATAGATAGAAAGATAGATAGATAGATAGAGAGAGAGAGATAAAGAGGGGAGGGGGGAAGGAGAAGGAGAGAAAGAGATAGAGACAGACAGAGATAGATAGATAGATAGATAGAGAGAGAGGGGAGGGGAGGGGAGATAGAGATAGATAGACAGACAAATAGATAAATAAATAGATAGATAGATAGAGAGAGACAGACAGACAGATAGATAGATAGAGAGAGAGAGAGATAAGAGAGAGAGAGAGAGAGAGAGAGAGAGAGAGAGAGAGAGAGAGAGAGAGAGAGGAGAGAGAGAGATGAGAGAAGAGAGAGAGAGGAGAGAGAGATTGAGAGAGAAGAAGAGAGAAGAGAGAGAATAAAGAGGGGAGGGGGGAAGGAGAAGGAGAGAGAGAGATAGAGACAGACAGACAGATTGATAGATAGATAGATATAGAGAGAGAAAAGGGCGTGGGGAGGGGGAGAGGGAAATAGAGATAGGCAGACAGATAGATAAATAAATAGATAGAGAGATAGAGAGAGTGAGACAGACAGACAGACAGATAGATAGATAGATAGATAGAGAGAGAGAGAGAGAGAGATAGAGGTAGACGGAGAGATAGATAGATAGGGATAGATAGATAGATAGAGAGAGACGAGAGGAAGGGGGGGGGAGGGAGAGAGAGGAGAGAAGATATAGACAGACAGATAGAAATAAATTAGATAAATAGAGAGAAAGAGAGAGAGACAGACAGATAGACAGACAGATATTTGATTGACAGACAGAGATTTGACTTCGATTTGATCAATTATATCAACAGAAGCGTGTGCATGCCCTGCCAAAAGCAAGGGCAAGATGCCAACGCACATATATCCCCATTGGCCGAGCTTCTATTCACGAAGAGGACCCTCAGTCACGCATTAGTTCTACGTGAGTGAAGGACTGTGCCGTTGTGCTTACATTATTCACGTATCATCTGGTCGATATAAAGACCATTTGATTACTAATCATATCAAAAACAAGACCTATGTCTATAATAAGCAGAGAGAGAGAGGGAGAGAGCGAGAGAGAGAGAAGGGGGGGGGGGTTGAGAGAGAAGGAGAGAGAATATGGAAGATAGATAGATAGACAGACTAACAGACAGATAGTTAGATAGACAGAGAGAGAGGGGAGACAGCGAATTTGAAAGAGTAAAAAGGATAGATGGAACGAAGGAGATAAATTATAGAGTATGAAAGAGAGAAGAAGAGGAAATGAAAATGAATTTATAACTGTAGATAAATTCAGCGAAAAGTCATAGCTTTGATTTTTATTCCTTCATTTATTCTTATCTATTCATTAATATTTAAGAGCAGGCAAGAAAATTGATGAGAATCGAAATTTTATAGATCAATAAAGTATGAAGTGTTTAAAAACTACAAAACTGTTGGTAAAACCGTTAAATCAGAATGTTCCGGGTTGTGACAGAGGGATACGATACCTTAATTTTCCAACCTCGATCAACATGGGTGACGTATCACTGACGGCTGATAATCAAAGTCTTTCCGAATCGCTAATCACACCAAAAATGTCGGTTCATATTGGAGATTTTCTCTTTTTTGTTATTATTAATCATAAACGGATAAATTGTGAAATGGTATCTTCGTATTCAGTTTAACGTCAGAGCTGAAAAGGGGAAACAGTAGTCACACATTTGAAAATAGGATTTTTTAAAAATTGTTAAATAACGAGAGCTTGTAAGTTCTGAAATATAAGACAAATAATTTACGGATATAAACCTTGGATGTTAAGTATAAAGCGTAAATTACTCTAGAAACAAAACGAGAGATTGATTTATGGGCGAAACATGTTTTTGGTAAAGACATGAGAGATGCGACAAATTAAAAACAGATATGAGGACGAAGGCTATAAATAAAAGTAAAAATCTCTAAGGAACAGCGTGACGAATGATGTTTTAACACAGAAAACAGGCATAAAATCATAATTGAATGAGAGACACCTATTTTTTTTCAAAATCTTAATTTCCTTTACGTCCGTGTGTCTCGACAGCCTAAGGAATATACCATGGGTGTCTGCTTCTCCCTCGCCCATGACTATGGTTTCATGCGCATCATGAGCAGCTATTACTTCGACAACAGCGACCAGGGTCCGCCAGGCAGCAGCTACGGAGGCACGGATGACGTCCCCATCAACGGCGATGGAACCTGCGGCGGCGGATGGGTCTGCGAGCACCGGTGGAACGCCATTACGCAGATGGTGAGTCGGAACGTGTCAAAACGAGTCAGGGTCAGCAAGGGAATGAAGATGAGTCAATCCACTTGTTAAAAATGGAGAATGATTTACTAGGACGTGAAGGTAGCTCTTAATCGACACAGGATAGATGACTTTGATGGATCGATGGACTCAAGGACCCAGTATGCCCGCTTGCAGACCCCTCCCCCCTCCCCCACCAAGCAGGCCGAGATACCCCCTCCCCCACCAAAGCAGGCCGAAGATACCCCCTCCCCCACCAAAGCAGGCCGAGATACCCCCTCCCTCTGCCCAATAGCGCACCCCCACCTCCCCGAGAATTAAAATAGATATATAAAAATGATCTGCCACGCCCGTCGTCCTCTTCTTCAGGTCAAGTTCAGGAACGCTGTGGCAGGCACGCAGATCGCCAACTGGTTCCAGGAGGGCGACAACGTGGCCTTCTCCCGCGGCGATAAGGGCTTCTTCGCCATGTCCAAGTACGGCTCTTTCGACCGTACGCTCCAGACGGGTGAGTGAAGATGGGAGAAAAAGGCACCGGAAAAAGAATGTTGCTTGAATTAAGGAATTTTATTTATATACTTTAATATTCAGCTTCATTTATGATTATTACTTATAATCATTACTATTATCATAAATCTTTATCAATATCAATGTGATTATTATTGACACTATCATTACTAGGATTAATACTATTTTAATTTTGTAATTCAATCTATTTTGCTCTGATTTTGAACAATTTCCTCGGTATTTTTCTGGAATTCCTTCCAGCTCAATAAGCAATCACACCGAAGACCGTCAAGCGGCACAGAAATGTCACAGAATATTTCACATCTTTCTTTCTCCTTCTCACCCTCGCGCCACAGGCATGCCCGCCGGTACCTACTGCGAGCTGATCAGCGGCTGCGCCAATCAGGTGACGGTGAACGGCGACGGAACTGCGCAGATCTCCATCCACAATTCTGATGAACCGATCTTCGCCATTTGTGTCGGATGCGACGGAAATGGCCCCACCGTCGACCCCAGTGAGTCCCTTCTGCGGTTTCAGCATCTGACACATTTTCGTAGATTTGGATGTTCTTGGATTTGGTCAGACTTGATTTCAGGATCAGTGTATGCGGACATAAACAATTATTTGATCACATATTTTAATCTAACAATACCTTTACAGGACAAACGCATTGCTGTTTTTCTTTCATTAGTGTGCCTTAAAAAGAATTATACATTCCTGCTCTCACCACCTCCCTTCGCCTCCGCCCTCAGATCAGCCCACGACGACCCCGGGCCCCACCCAGCCGCCCATCACGTCGGGCGCGCACAGGACCGTCGTCTTCGTCCACAAGCAGACCAACCCCGGCCAGGACCTCTTCATAAGGGGCGGCATCGACTCGGCCCATCGCCCAGGTTGGAGGCAGAGACTGAATGGGGAAATTGTCCTATATATATATATATATATATATATATATATATATATATATATATATTATATATATATATATATATACATACATACATATATATATATATATTATATATATATATATATATATATATATATATATATATATATATATATATATATATATATATATATCACACACCACACACATATATATCTTCACCACACACGCACACACACACAAACATATTATATATATATATATATATATATATATATATATATATATATATATATATATATATATATATATATATATATATTCACACACACATAAATGTATGTGTGTGTGTGTGAGTGTGTATGTGAGGAAGGTCTCGTCCGAGGGGAATCTGGGGATCCTCCCCTCCCCCCTCTCTCTCTCATTCTCTTTCCATAAACACATATATCTGCGTGTATGTGCGCGCGCGTATATAAACACACGCGCTCACACATACATACACACACACACACACACACAAACATACACGCAAATATCTGTGTTTATGGAAAGGGAATGAGAGAGGGGGGGGGGTCCCCAGATTCCCCTCGGACGCGACCCTCCGCCGCCGCGTCACCTGCATCTCGACCTCGTTGTCAAGGAGACGCGGCGCTGATGTCATGGGAGGCAGTCACTCCGGGCGCGCTGATGACGATGACAAAACATTCATCAGCGGGAATGAAAACTATTTTTGAATAATTAGGATCTTACGTAAAGGGAAATATGGTGAATTGGGAAGTATGCAATAAAATAACCATTAATTACACATTGATCGCTATTAGAAATGTAGGAAAAAATGAATATCACCGAAATATGTATGGGAATGATAAGGCAAATAAAAACGAAATACAAATAAAAACTAAAAATCCAGCTTCTATTAGATTGACAATAGACATTCAAGAGAGGACGAAGAAGAAGTAGAAGAAGAGAAAGAAGAAGTATAGTAGAAGAAGAAGAAAAGAAGGAGATAGAGACAAAACGAAGCAAAAAAAGGAAAAAAGAAGAAAGGAAGAAATGAAGAAGATGAAGATTAAGAAAACAGAAAAGAAGTAGACGAAGAATAAGAAACAGAAGAAAGAACAAAACGACAAAACCAAAAACACTTACCATCCATCTTTCCACTCACCAAACAAAATAAAATGCACAAGATAAAAAAAAAAAAAATGAATTAAGGATAAAAAAAAGAAAAAAGAAAGCAATAGGAACAAACCTAACACCCATCCCCCCCCCCTCTCCCCCCAAGGCTGCACCGAGAACGCGGACGCCGACGCCTGCGCCATCGACATCGCCGTCAGCAGCCTCGGCGCCGACGCCCACTACGCCAAGTACGACGCGTGGCGAGTCGGCGACACGAAGCTGGACTGGTACGGCGGGCAGGGCGGCCAGGGCAGCTACATGGGGCAGGCGGCCTCCGGTTCGCCGCTTGCCTGGACCACCAGCCAGGTCGGGGGCGCTGGACACCAGGATCTGAATAACGTGAGTAAGGGGGAGGGAGGTAGAGGAGGGAGGGGTAGGGAGGGAGGGGAGGGATGGAAGGGAGGGAGGAGGGAGGTAGAGGAGAGAGAGGGGGAGAGAGGGGGGTACTAGAGGGGAGGGGGGAGGGATAGAGGGGGGGGGGGAGGGAGGAAGGGGGAGAGGGGGAGGGAGGAGGGAGGTAGACGGGGGAAGGGAGGGTGGGGAGGGTAGAAGGTGGGAGGGAGGTAGAGGGAGAAGGAGGTAAAGGGGGGGAGGGGGGAGGGAGGTAGAGGGGAGGGAAGGTAGAGGGGGAGGGAGGGTGGCCGGGGGAGGGAGTTAAATAAATGAATATTGAGATATGTGAATGTATAGATTCTCTTCATTTATGTATTCATTTGTTTATAGATAGATTGATAGACAGAGCAAAAGAGGTGGATAGAACAGGTAGATAGGAGAGAGAAAAAAGAGGAGGGCGCCTGGACACCAGGATCTGAATACGTGAGTAAGGGGGCGGGAGGGTCGGGTAGGTCGTGGGGAGGTGGGGGGGGGTGGTTGAATGGATGAATGGATAGATACAGTGAAGAGATTACATAAACACATGCCACTCAGTCAGGGCCACATCCAGAGAAAGGCCGGGCGAAGCATGACTTCGCAAATCTACACTGAACTGAACTGACATCAGTCAGTCAGTTAGCCAATGCAGTTCAGTTCAGAGCGAGAGAGAGAGAGAGAGAGAGAGAGAGAGAGAGAGAGAGAGAGAGAGAGAGAGAGAGAGAGAGAGAGAGAGAGAGAGAGAGAGAGAGAGACAAAAAGAGAGAGAACAAAAAGAGAAGAAAAGCACGAAAGAAGGACAGATAAAACAGAGAAAGAGGGATAGAAAAAAAGAGAAAGAGAGAGCAAGAGGGAGAGAAAGGAGAGAAAGAAAGAGAGAGACAGGGATAGAAGAGAGAGAGAGAGAGAGAGAGAGAGAGAGAGAGAGAGAGAGAGAGAAGAAGAGAGAGAGAGCAGAAGAGAGAGAGAGAGAGAGAGAGAGAGAAGAGAGAGAGAGAGAGAGAGAGAGAGTGAGAGAAAAGAGAGAGAGAAAGAAGAGCGAGAGAGAGAGAGAGAGAGACGAGGAGACGAGAGAGAGAGCGAGAGAGAGAGAGAGAGAGAGAGAGAGGAGAGAAGAGCCCAAAACAGAGAGAAAAAGAGAAACGAAGGGAAGAAAAAAGAGAAACGAGGGATCACGAAAAAAGAGCACAAGAGGGTAGGAACAAAAGAGAAAGAGCGGATACAAGAACACAAAGAGAAAGAGGGATAGAAAAAAGAGAAAGAGGGATAGAAGAAAAACACACAGAAGAAGAGGGATAGAAAAGAGAAAGAGGGATAGAAAAAAGAGAAAGGATAGAAAAAAGAGAAGGATAGAAAAGAGAAAGAGAGAGCAACAGGGGAGAGAAAAGGAGAGAAAGAAAGAAGAGACGATGAGAGAGAGAGAGAGAGAGAGAGAGGAGAGAGGAGAGAGAGAGAGAGAGAGAAGAGAGAGAGAGAGAGAGAGAGAGAGAGAGAGAGGAGAGAGAGAGAGAGAGAGAGAGAGAAACAGAAAATGACAAAACAGACGAAACAAACCAACACAAAAACAAAAAACACCCCTTCCCCCCCCCCAAAAACAAAAAAAAACACCAGCATCACCCACTTCTCACCTGAATACCTTTGGCGAACACTACTGGATGATTGACATGGAAATGGATTGCGGTCAGACTGAAGGCGGGTGGTTTGAGCTCAAGGCCTTCCTGACCAACGCCGGGTCGGGCTGGGAAGCGGACATCAACCAGGTAAGGGACAGGATACATTGATTATGTTTAGAAATTTATCCAGCTTCATGAAGGTGGGGGTGGTATAGGGCTGAGAAGAGAGAGAAGAGAGAGAGAGAGAGAGAGAGAGAGAAGAGAGAGAGAGAGAGAGAGAGAGAGAGAGAGAGAGAGAGAGAGAGAGAGAGAGAGAGAGAGAGGGTGGAATCAGATAAACACAGTCATAGTAAGAAAAAAAAATAATTACATTTCACATCTTCCTGCATTCCTCACCAAACTGCAAAAAACAAAATATCGTTTCTTTATGCTCTGAGTAGGAAACCTGCAATCCCGAAACGTCATGATCTTTTTCCCTTTTCTTACAATAACCGTGTTTTATTTTTATCTGCATACTCTTCTATGATTGTATTCATGTTATCCTTATCCATGCTCCCTGAGAATCCACAGCGACGATCACATACAACTAACAACATTATCGAAGCACAAAATCGTAACTCATCAGCCTACTATACAATAACCTTCCCTGACCTCTCTTGTCTGCTCTTGACCTGTAAAGGCCTTTCTTGACCTTCATTGACCAATCCTGATCTCTCATAGCATTTCTTGACTTCCCTTGACCTCTCATAGCCTTTCTTGCCCTCTCCTGACCTCTCTTAAACCTCTTAACCTTTCTTTACCTCCATTGACCAATCCTGATCTCTCATAGCATTTCTTGACTTCCCTTGACCTCTCATAGCTTTTCTTGCCCTCTCCTGACCTCTCTTAACTTTTCTTTACCTCCATTGACCAATCCTGACCATCTTCACTAGCCTTTCTTGACTTCCACTGACCAATCCTGATCACTCATAGCCTTTCTTGACCTCTCCTAACGTCCAATAGCCTTTCTTGACCTCCACTGACCCCTTTTAACTTTTCTTGACCTCCACTGACCCCTTTTAACTTTTCTTGCCCTTCTTGATTCTCTCTATTCTGTTACCTCCTTTTAACTTTTCTTGACCTCCACTGACCCCTTTTAACTTTTCTTGCCCTCTCCTGACCTTTCTTCACCTTTCTCCTCTCCCCTTCCGCAGGTGAGCTCTTGCAAGGGAAGCGCGGGAGGCTCCAAGCCCTACGCGTCGAACAACCACATGGGAAAGTGCGGCTTCCTCAATGTCTTCGAGTTCTCGGGTTCCTCGTGCCAGATCGACGTTCTGCCCTGAGTCCGCTCTGAGCTCTTGGGGCGATGGCGATGAAGGTGACGACGGCGGCGACGATGATGAAAAGACAGTGATGATAAGGATGACGATGAAGATGACGACGACGATGATGGGAAGACGATGGTGAAGACGACGGTGAAGATGATGATGAAAAGACAATGATGACAAAGATGACGAAGATGATGATGAAAAGACAATGATGACAAAGATGACGGTGATAATGACGATGATAATGACGAGAAAGGTGATGACGATGAAAATGACGATGATGGTGATGTTCTGTCTTTCGCTGCCTGTGGTGGCGATTTTCACCTGGGAATAACCTTTTGAAGTTCATTTGAATAAAAATGTGTGGGGATGTGTTCATTTGATTTTATTTCCTCTTATTCTGTTCTATTTCATTCGATGTATTGTATCATTTATCAGATCTCTCTCTCTCTCTCTCTCTCTCTCTCTCTCTTCTCTCTCTCTCTCTCTCTCCTCTCTCTCTCTCTCTCTCACTCTCTCTCTCTCTCTCTCTCTCTCTCTCTCTCTCTCTCTCTCTCCTCTCTCTATCTATCTATATCTTTCCCTCTCTCCTTCCCTCGCTCACTCTTAAATGAAATAAATATAAAACTAAAAAAAACACATTTTCAAAAGTTGAACAGTGACTCATGCAGACTGCAATAGTATCAATTTCCCCCCTTCCCGGAGGTCAAAGGTCAACCACTCAGGGGTCATTGACCTTCATGTCTCAAGCAACTCTCTCGATAGCGGATAATTATATTGTGGGGTTATTTGCCATTTATTACGTTGGTTGTGGATATTAGTTGTAGCTAACGGAGGGGACGACAGATAAACACTGTAATTAAAGCATACATTAATTTTACCAGTGCAATTAGATCCTGCTGAGACCGTTAATCTTGTAGAATCTCTCTTTCGTTCGAAATGTAATAAGGGAAGGGGCAAAAGGGAGGGAGACGGGGAGAGGGAGAAGGATAAGGAGAGGGAGAGGAGGGGAGAGGGAGAAAGGAAGGGGAGAGGGAGAGGAGAGGGAGAGGAAGTGGGAGAGGGAGAGGGAGAGGGAGAGAGGGAGAGGGGAGAGGGAGAGGGAGAGGGAGAGGGAGGGAGAGGGAGAGGGAGAGGGAGAGGGAGAGGGAGAGGGAGAGGAGAGGGAGAGGAGAGGGAGAGGGAGAGGGAGAGGGAGAGTGGAAGAGGAAGAGGGGAGGGATATATATATATATATATATATATATATATATATTATATATATATATATATATATATATATATATATATATATATATATATATATATATATATATATATATATATATATATATATATATATATATTATATATATATATAGAGAGAGAGAGAGAGAGAGAGAGAGAGAGAGAGAGAGAGAGAGAGAGAGATGGAAATTTATGATAACAGATAGATAGAGGTAACAGATGGATGGATAGATAGATAATTATATAGATAATTAGACAGACACTCTGATAGAGAAACAAAGTGAAACAACAGAAAAGGAAAAGGGAAGGGAGACAGAGAACGAATCTGAAAAAAAAATCTGCATCAAGTTGCAGTTGTTTTCATTCACATAAAATAACAAATAACTGAATAAAAACACGAAACAAGAAGCATAAATATGATAAAAGTGAAAATATACGATAGTGATACCAGGGCGTAGTATATACATACATACATACATACATACATATACATAAATAAATGGACCTCTATAAAAACAAATGTTTATAAATCAGTTACAATCTACATTACTAAGGCATATTTATCAATAACGAAAAAAAGATAAATGATACAGATTCTACAAATGTGTTCCAGAGCACTCTCGCTAACTTTCTTGCTCTCTCGGTCCATATTTCACTGGTTCGAGGTCAAAGAGAAAGGTCATTTTTCACTTTCTGGAAATTCATGCTATGTGGCTATTAAAGGGGCCAATAAGGATGTTTTTCGTTTGCTTTTATTTCCATTTATACTTTCCATAGGTCCAGTTTTATCAATGTATATAAATGTGTGTAATAATATCCTTGATAGATTAGTGATTGATGACAAGTTGACACGTTGACGATGATGATTATTAGGTAATTAAGAGATTTGTGGTGACCTAAAAAAAACAAAAAAACATTGAGCTCTCACCCTCAAAAGAAAAAAAAAATCTATTGCTTTTATAACATGTAGGGAATGTATTAATATGCTAAATGTTCTAAATATAGATCACTAGAAAAAAAATATATTATTAGCTCTCCCAGGATAAACAGGATTACCACAAAAAAAGAAAGGAAAGATCAGATAGCTATAAGTCTAATCAGGTAATTATTAGTTACAATTTCAAAATGATTTATTAAATTAACTAATACGATTCTATTTCTTCCAATAATCTATTAGCATGAAATATGTTACAATTTGTTGCGATGATGCGAGAAATATGAAGTTTAAAACTATCAAAGGAAAGCATTAAAATCATTAGTTTGATTAAGATAATGATATATGAATGGAAAACAAATAATATTTATTCTCCAATGACAGCTTGATACGTCGGCTTCAGTACCAATAAATATACACATATTTCGCAACAATACCACAAAAAAAAACATACCAAAATACTCTTCCCACAAAATAGAAGAGTCCTGGTATCTGCTTTGGGTGAACGCAATCATTAGCACATCACTCTCCCCTCCCCCCCCCCCAAAAAAAAAAAAATAAAAAAAAAAATAAAATAAAAGGAATTCATTGTAGCCAACACAAGGGTGCCGACGACTCGTGCAAGAGGGTTTGGTGACGCTGAAAATAGCACAGGAACAGAAATAATGTTCGAATTTGTACATTTACGGTCTTTAAGGAGAATTTAGACCCGATTTGCTATTGAATTCGCAGTTTGCACCTGATAAAGGTAATCTAGGCCTCGTTCGCATTAAACGATTATGTATATAATGAAAACACAAAAATATAACAGAATACGAATGATGGCGAAGCGAAATCGAGATGTCATGCTTTGATGTCACGCAGCCCCCTCCCCACACACACACAAAAATAAATAAAGAGAGAGACAAGGAAAAAGGTCAACATACTTTTTGGTGAAATGATTGTCAAATTAATTCTTTTTTTATGAAAGCTAATATCATTGTGAATGCACATTATCTTATCAAATAAAAGGAGAGGAATATAGAAAGATTACTTTAATTAGAAAGGTACAATTCTAATAATGAAATAAACACTGACATTCAAATACTATCTTTCCGAAGGGAATCTGTCATACATGTCAATGTTGGTGGAAATTATCCCTTAACCAATCACTAAATTATAAATTGCATCTCCGGCTCTATAGGAAAGTGTAGTATTACAGCTAAGCCAATCCCACTCCTGATTCCACCTTCTTAATTGTCAATCCCATTTCTGCTCAGTATGATAAAGGATTTTTAAAAATGTTTGAAATGTTTTTCATATATATGTCATCATTTTGGAGAAGGTCACCCGAAGGCGCCCTGTGTTTCCTTTCAACTTGCCATTATAAGTATGCTGTTTGTCTTCGCTTCTTCCAAACTAGGCAAGACCAATTCACGTTGCCACAACAACATATGATTCCTCGTATTGGGTATTTCAAACTTCACAACCTTATGGTTAAGACTTCATAACTTCTTCTTGGTAACTTATTCATTTTCCATTCGTCTTGTTTCGTCCTCCTTTTTCTTACTCTCTCATCTTCGTTACTCTTATCTTCTGAAAGTTCGTTGACTCGAGACGCTGAAGAAGAAGTTTCCTGAACTTTCTACAAATGCTTCAATAACGGTCTAATCATGAATGCATTTCGTTTGCGCTTTTCTTTCGTCTCAACTTCCGGACACTTCTCGAAACTTCTCGCAGAATTTCTTATTCAAATGGCAATACTCTAAGTCCGGTTCTGGACTTTTTAGATAATGGATTTTTATGTCGTTTTCATTCGACAATGATATGTAAGTCATACATTCTTTAGCGTAATCTTTGTCTTATTCTACCTCTATTTTTTCTATTTTTTGTTCATCTGTCTGTTTGTCTGTCTAGCTATCTATTTTTTCACTCTTGTTACTTTATGATTAGACACTATGATTATCTAGTATAAAAATTACAATTAAACGGTATATACTACTTTGGATGGATCAAATTTAAAAGGAAAAAGATCCTACAACTTTTATATTTGTTACCTTACTCAATACTGCACGAGGATTGATTTCTGGAAAGTGCTAATTCGAAATTTGGGAGGTTTGCCTGTAAACTGTTCGAGCAACTCATCGTATCTATCTATCTATCTGTTTATCTATCTATCTATCTATATATATATATATGCACACATATGCGTTTGTATATATATATATATTAATATATATATATATATATATATATATATATATATGTATGTATGTTATGTACATATATGTATACATACACAAAACATACATGTGTGTATATGTATATATATACATATTATATATATATATATATATATATATATATATATATATATATATATATATATATATATATATATATATATATATAATATATATATGTAGCATGTATATATATATATATATATATATATATATATATATATATATATATTATATATATATATATATATATATATAATATATATATATAATATATAATATATTATATATATATATATGTATGTATGTATGTAGTTATATAAACTTAAAATATATATATATATATATAATATATATATTTATATATATATATATATATATATATATATTATATATATATATATATATATTATATATATATTATATATATATATATATTATAATATATATATTATATATATATATATATATATATATATATATATATATATGTATATATATATATATATATATATATTTATATATATATATATATAATATATATATATATTTACATATACATGAAAGATGGAATAATGCACTAGCGCACTGATATGATGAAATAAATAAGTAACCTCTCCAATCGAGATTCAAACCCACGTCATTGCAGGCAAGTACCTGCAAGACAGACGCTCATGGTCCACTGATATGTCTGTACAACCAGTTGATTCTTAGTTGT